GAAAAAAAAAACAATAAGATTCACTTGCTCTTGGAGAATTCTAATGCTTTTTCTGTTTTTTTGTAACTCATGGCTAGTGGGATGTTGTGTGAATTATTGTTCAATTGCTCGTATATAATTCGTTTGTGTTAAATTATCTCATTGTTATGGGTTTTTTATTCTAATCATGTACTCTTGTAAAAAAAAAAAATTTATTGCATTAGTGGGCTTAAAAATCAATAGCTGACTGTTTTCTAATAGCTGGCCAAACTTGATTTATTTTCATGTTCTGTTAAATACATATCTCCTCCTAATGCGTAAAATTATTTGGGGGATGTAAGAGGAGGAGGGTAGGGGCGACCACACCCAAGATTCTAAATAACCTTCTATATCTCTTTAAAAAAATAAATGTTTTTAATTTTATATATATATATTTGTAGAAATTGGATTTTGCATCCCAAAATTTTAGAAATGCTTTTATATCCCCTTAAAATGTTAAAAATTATCATTTATATCGTTATAAGCTATAGGCTTTGCCCCCCAAGTCCCAAGCTTTTTACAAAAGTGTGAGGGTGTCCACTTAGTATGTATCTTTACTATAGTTTTGCTTCCCAAATGTAAACCTCTGTTTTTTTTTTTTTTTGTTTTCCAAATTGACCAAATGTGTTCAAGGTTTTGATATTACCAAACATACTTTTCTCTCTTTTACTGTAAATGAGAGACTTTTTTTTTGGGGGGGGGGGGGGAGCTGTAATTGAGAGATTGAATGCAGAGTAAATAATTTATGAATGAAAATGCTAGGTGCTAGAGGACTACATCAAAAGACAAATAAAAAGAATTAAGGACAGAGCAAATGCGGCCATCATTACTCTAGGCCCACGCGTTATTAACCATCATGGGCCACAATGATTCCAGATCCAAAATATGTCACATGCAGCAAAGCCTTTTCACGAAAGGCCTCCTGGCCCTAAAATGCAAATGCAATCCAAGTGAAAAGAGACAAGAAAAATAGTAAATAAAAATCACGTAGAAAGAACTTATTTAAAAAAAAAAAAGAAATGAAAAATATGATGCTTTTTCTGGCTTTCGTCGAAACTTGAAAGCCCTTTTTTCTGAAAGCTATTCCCCAAATCCAAGGGAATCATAGGTCCCCATCATCATTCAAATGATTCAAATTAAAATTGAGATGATACTCTACTAGCCAGTGTGTCTTTCTCTCTTTTTGATAATTTCAAATTTTAAACAAAAAGGGATGGAGGGGGGATCTGAGATCTCTAACAGCTAAAAACCAAAAAAGTTGATGATATATCAATCAATCAATGATACCAAAAAGATTACCGCCTTTGAGATAAAAAATGACAATGATGCAAAGTTAGATTGCGCACTTCTTAATTGATCTTTCCCGCCTTTTGTTTATATAACTTTTGTCGTCCCCCCTTTTTCTTTTTTCTAGGGCTGGCTGCCCTAATTGACATGTTAGATGAATAGTTTCACTACATGCATGCATGTGAGCGACAATTCAAAGCTGTACAAAAACCCTTGTTACGGGGCGTTACAGGAACATATTACTCAATCACTTTTTTACTTTGCATACATCAAATCGATATAGTAGTACATTTTTTAACAAGAACTCCTAAAAATAACAATCCATACAGGTTCGTCCCCGAAAACTATTACGTTGTTCTGATTTATTTTTGCCCTCACCCTTGCTCGCCTTGAAATATTTTGGATTAGCTTAGTGGTGTTTGCTTTGCTTGATTTCAAACACAAGCTTTTTAGTGCTAATGTATGGTGTAAATATTCATAGCTTATGGCAGAAATGATACATGTGATGCAACATTGTGATTTGATCTTTAATCTCTTTTGAATTGATCCGTGATTTTGCAAGAGACGCAACCACATCAACCCTAATAAAGAAGATTCTTCGTTTTTTGCTTGCGAATTCATCTAAGAGATTCAACCCAATTCTTGTCTTTTGCAGTACGAAGTCATATTTTCCTGTAGAAATGGTTTGATGGTTCTGCATCATACATTCAGGAGACGGGTAAACACTGCTGTAAATCTAATAACTCTATGAATAGAATAAAATTCATTGTACGTTATTTATATATAGTTTTGTAATAGCCATGTTAACTATTTATGTAAGCATCTATTACTTACGCTAGAATTACACGACATTCTTTGAACCGTAGATTTTTTAATATTAGCCCTGTTGGCAAAATTTGAGCCGCCCAACCCCCTTTTTTCCCCCCTTTATTCGTACCTTCTTTTCTTTTTGTTTAGAAAATTTTTTTGGGAGCATTCACAATCTCTTAAAGCAGAATTAGATCAAATTTTAATCCTCATTAATTATCCCTCTTTTTGACTAATCATTTCCACTTTGCTGTGAAAAACAAAAATGAAACGTGGTATGGTATCCTCACTCCAACATGCAACATCACCCCCTTCAATCCTGTCTGACACCAAGAAAATGAAAAGCAAAACCAGAAATTGGTGGCTTACCATGCATGCATCTGGCTCCATTGCCACACAGACAAGTTACACCAGAAATCTCAGTTAGGGGCCAAGAAGGAAGGGAATGGGGTCCGAAAGTTGCCTAGAAAAAAGAGAAATGTTCTCTTGCCCATGCCCACATTGCAAGCAAAATAGGAGACGCCAACTTTGTTATCTTGACTAAGATGCCGACTTGTAAGTTGCTAATGTTGTGTAACTTGCGCAGCCATCCCCCGAAATTGTACTATCATTTTTGGACTTTTCAATGTTCTATGTTGATTTTTGCAACCATACAGAAACTGTACTGATCAGATCACCACCATACATGAGTAACAAGTTATGGTATGGCTGTGGATGATGATGATGATGATGGATACATCCATATATCCATCTTTATTGATACATGGATCCATAATGGTAGTAGTAGTAGCACCTTTTTTGTAGCAGGAAAAAATAATAATAATAACAATACATTAGTAGTAGTACTTTCAAACCAAACAAAAAGAGAAAAAGAAAAAAAAAAAAAACAAATAGTAGTACTTGCCACATTTCTGATCTCACAGTATTTGTTCTGCGCCATCCCAACGCAACCTTAAACCTTAATATGTTGTCGGGAAAGCCGAAAAGGTAGAAATAAGGAGAGATGGACGAACGAAGAATACAACATTCGTACAACTGCCAATTGAGAGGATCAACCAAAGCCAAAGCTTCGACGGAAGGATCACAATAATATCTCTCCATAAGAACCTCCTCCTCTTCTTTTTTTTTTTTTCCTTCCTCTAACCAGGTATGCGCAATTAATCCTGTACATTTATTATTATATGTTTTGCTCTCAAGCCATAAATTTATTTGATCCCTAATCATGATCAATACTTTTCATGTCATAAACAACTAAACCATGTAAATTAAATTTTTTTTTTTACAGCCAAACATCATCAAGAAAAGGTATATTATATCTAGCATGAAACTTGAAAGCTTGAAGGGATGAGCGATAACCCTACTTTCAGAAGTCAACTTAAAAAGACTTACACCCCACTTCAAAGCAAGTTTCTGTCATCCTCAAACTACTATGGTTTCCAGCATGTTAATCAGATCCACTATAATTCCTTCAGCCTTCCTTCTTCTTCCACCTTTTGCTTTTCAAAGAGAACTAAAGAGCACCACCAAGCAAGAAGCTGTTAATTGTGATGCAAGTTGTATGGTGGAGTTCTTTAAAACCCATGCTTTTTCTTAAAAAGATAACAAAAGTTTTTTTTTTTTTTCTAAACACGTTTTCTAATAATTTTTTACTCAAAAAGTGCTACAGTAAAAATTTACGTAAAAGCACCCGCCCTAACTTAGATGAACCAAACGAAGCCTTAACTCGTATTTAAGGTCAAAAAAGGCGACTACTCGTGTATAGTAGTTATTTAGGCGACTTTGTAGTTTTTTGAACCTTGGGTGAAGATTCTTTTTCTTAATGACAAAGGCCAACGTCTTTTGGAGCAGATGAATAATCATACTTATGGTCTAAAAGTGATCTTCTTTCCTGATCAGGAAATCTTCTGTTCACTAATCAACAGTTGTCCTAAGCCACTATATTCATTCATTAATAAATTTGGCTCACTTCGTACTAGCATGTAATAGTGTAATAACATTGGGGTTAGGAATTAATTGTCCAGTTGCGTGGTCAATGGTCTATCTTTAAAAGTCTTGATACCTACAACCTGAACAAAAAAAAAAAAGAAAGAAAAAGGACAAGGCCAAAGACACGAGCTGGAATTAATAATCATGCTTTAATAATTTACAAAATTAGTGCTTTTTATCTATGGAAAATTAAATTCTACTATAAGTTTCTAACATGAGATGGCGGCGCCTAACGATTCCCCAAATCTCGCCATCAATCACTCCTACGTATCTCCCAACATATTTTTTAGGTCCATAAGAAAACAAAAACCGGATAAAAGTAATACTAGTAATCTCTTTTCAAAGCATATGTCAAGCTAGTACAAGAAACATGCCGGACAAAAAAAAAACACTCAAGAGGCCACTGGCCTCATTCTCAACATATAGCAGTAATTTGTAGCCAATTTCACATCTCCCAGGTCCATGTACATAATGTGGAAGATAGAAAAAGTGTATATAAACACGATAAGAGAATAGAAGGTACGAGGAAGAAATTTATGGCACATATTCACACAGTTCAATGGGGTTTGATTATTTTCTTTCCTCACTCTTGCTGTAGCACATATTCACACATTTCCCATTGAAGCAGTCAAACCCCCCCCCGCCACCCAACCCCCCACCCCGCGGGGGGTATGAAAGCAAGGAAAGGAAAGCCCAATCCAGAACAATAGTTTAGTAGGAGTAGTAGAGGATTTTACTATGGGAAGAAATTAAAAATCAACCGACATTAACAAGAATACAAACAAAATAAGGGTCCATGATCAAGATCATAATCAACAACATCATCAGCTCTACCTATCCCTACTACTATTTATGTATAATGTATGGTCAGTGATTGATATATACTATATACCATCATCAAGGACCGAAAAAGGAAAACTATTATTTACACATAATTTAGACCAAACTACACTGCTCTAAGCTTTGGTGAAAGTCATGGTTAAGATCATTGAAGACAACACTAGTAGTAGTACTAATTAATATCTTTTCCCATGTCTTGTCTCTTTTTTTTTTTTCCTCCTTATCATCATAGTAATGGTCATCATCAAACTAATCACCATCATTATCTCCAAACTTTCTAACACTGTAATCATTTCTAGTCTGAAGAACATATCCAAGATTCCATCATACCTTCCCCTCTTGCTGGTGGTGGTGCAACAGCCACAGCTACATTTTCCGACGACCCTTTCTCCCCGTGAAAACCGGAGGAAGAACCGGAGTAACTCAGCTTCCCATTTCCAGCACCGTTAACACTTCTTGACAAACTAAAGTTTCCATTTCCAGACCTGCTCTGATGACCTTGATCACCTCCTCCATCGTTCGAACCGACCCCAGCACTCGAACTTCCCCAGTTAACCGGATTGTTACCATTCCTCGACGTCGTTTGATCGGAAGAAATGAGCCCCGGAAGCCCACTTAAAGAACTTGTGTTGACATGACCCTGGCCTAAGCCAAATTCATCTAAACTTTGGGCTGTTTTTGATCCGATAACAGGGCAATTGGAAGGCTGATACTTGACATGGTTAGATTGAAGAAGTGAAGTGAGAATTGGGGTTGGCAAGTTGAAAAGATTTGCGCTTTGGAGAGGGAGTTGGAAAGTAGGATTAGTGGAAGTACTAATGTTTAATCCAGAAGTGTTGTTGTTGTTGTTGTTAGTACTAGTACTATTTGGTGAAGCTATTGCAGCATGATCAACTAAGGATGAATTCAACAGAGAAGAACATGATGAAGCCGATGAAGCCATAAAAGGAGGAGGCAGTTGAACTTTTTGAGGAAAAGGCCTACGAAGATAAGGTGGCTGTAGTTGCGATGAATCTATAAGGTTATTAGATCTCATGCTAGAAGGACTGGTACCATAAAGATCAAGTCTTGGTCTTTGAAACGGTGAAGAAGATGTGAAGGGTGGAGCTGGGATGCCTGTAAATTCTTGGACCATGGCTCTGAAGTTGGAGGTATCAGTGGTGAGTACAGTTGTTGGCGCCCGCCTCGATGCTCTTGATCGCTTCTTTGGATTACGTACCACTTGGGCTAGATTATTTTGCTCTGGTGCTGCTTGTTGTCTAGGTGTATTTGTAGCACTGGTATTCTCTTGCACAGATGAAGGGATTGACACAGATGGGGTAGTAGTGGCGAAAGAACCTTGTTGCTGTTGGTTTGAGCCAAAAAGGGATTGGATTGAAGATGCAGAAACCATGTTGGGATTGATATCAGACAAATTTGGGTTGGATCTTAGGGCTGTAGACCAGGACATCTCCAGATTGAGGAGGGATGAGTCAGGATTCTGTGGTGGCCGTGAAATGGGGTCGAAATAGTTAGACAGAGAGTCAAAGATGGAGGAAGTGTTTGTTGGGTTCAGTGGTGGTGCCGCTGGTGGCGGAGTAGGGTGGTTGTGGTGGTGGGAAGTCATGAGAGCTGCCGAGATGGAATCGGCGCGTGAATCGTACTCTTCATCACCACTTGATGACTGAAGACTTCCACTGTTTCCAGAATCCATTTTGTCTCTCTGCAGAGAGAGTTCTGAATTCTAGAAACAAGAACCAAAAAAAGGAAAGGAGAGGAAAAGGAGAAGAAGCAACGAAACAATGAACAAACCAAAAAAGAATCTAACGTAGGGGGGGTGGGGGGAGACAGGGACAGAGATATGGAGAGAGATTTTTTTGGGCAGACTTATAACTTCCTTACAAGTTATACTACAAGTTACAACCAACTCATATTTAAGAGTAGCTATAGCTGCTGCAGCAAGGAAGAAATAAAGAGATCAAGATTTCTTTGTCGAAGAGAGATATTATTTTGTTCAGAAAGTACCAACCATGTCTTTAAAGCTCTGATCTGCAGCACACGAGCCAGGCCTTTTGAACATACTTTTTTTTTTCTCTCGTCTTTGAACCAAGAACCAACCATAAATCAAGAAATTAACTGTTGCTGACGAAAAAGAAAAGATCTCTGCTCAACTTTGAACCTTCAACCCGTCATGTATTGGCGGTAGAATTAGGGTTAGAGAGTTGGAGAGAGAGAGAGAGAGAGAGAGAGCAAAGGAAGAAAAGGGCAGAGAGAAAGGAGGGAGAAGAGAAAAGGGTTGGTCTCTTTATCGATGCATCTCTAAAAGAGAGGCGGCTTCAGCTCACGTTTCCACTAAAAAGATCAGCGTGGGGTAGCCATGGGAGAGGGACTGCTGAGTTTTGAGAGAAGAGAAAGAGATAGAGTGAGTGAGTGAGAAAAGGGCCAAAAAAGTTAGTATTGTGGATGGATAGCGGTCAAAATTTGAGATTTTTGTGGTTAAGATTTAGGATTAATGTGAAACGTTGGAAGAAAAAAAATCTAAGGGGATATTAATAAGTATGTTCAAGAATGTAATAGTGGTATTAAAGATTTGAGAAAATATATAATAATACTCCATTGATGATGTAAAAAAATATCATACTATTATGATACTAGTACTAAATTCACAAAATAAATTTACTTGTACGAATAATGAGGTGGGCAAGAAGCCAAACTTTAAAGAAGATGGTAGTTGAAAGGTATGAGGTGAAACAGTGCAAACAGAGGCACCGTCACTAGCTATGATATGACCACTTTTCAAAAAGTCCCAGTTAATGCCTAAAAAATTTGTACGTGTGTATAAAAGCGATATGAAACGGACAAGTCAATAATGTATATCATTATGCTTTACTTCAAACTTAATTCATTGTTTTCTTAAATTAAAAGGGCTACTTTTTTTTTCTTTTTCTTTTTTGATACTTCATTTCAAATACTACTACTAGATACTAATTTCTTTATTTATTAAAGTACTACTCTAATGCAATTGGAACCTACGTAGCATTTTACAGCACTTTGTAATTTTTATTGTTTACAATAATAATATTTCAGTTCAGTAATACACAAATAAAAATAATTAAAAAAAGTCTCATCTACACAGTACATTAAATATTTCAAAAAAAATTTACATTAAAATTTTTTCATACGCACCGTTTCATATAGTAAAATATTTCAAAAACAGTTAATTCAATATTTCGATCCTCTTACTCTCATTTACTATTCCCCTCTCCTCTAGTCTTCTAGTTAATATAAGTGAGGATATTATTATTATTGAGCACGTCCAGCTAAGAACTACGAGAATCTTTACTTCACTGTAGCTTTCATTAATAACAAGAAGTTGCAGAAGCAAAGTGAAAACAACTTAACAAGCTTTGACCAAGTCAGAGAAAACTTGATAAAAACTTCAGAAAAAAGAAAGAATAAACTCTAGTGTTATTATTGAGAACCAACAGGGAATTCAGAGAATCTCATGCAGTCGTCCTCCTCCACTGATTTGTAGGTGGAGAAAATGATTATGCATCTCTTGGAATTACCTTGCATTATTATTAATTCTCTATTTCCTTTTCCTAAAACTTTTTATACGAAGTACTCCACTACGACTACAGCATTCATCTAACTTCCTTCTGTTCCATCTCATTCGTAACACACACTTTTCTTCTTCTATACTAAAAAAAAGAAATGGAAAGCTCATAAATTATGGATGGATGGATGGATCAGCTCAACAAAAACACCTAAAGTTCGCTGCAACTATCAGAACTAAAAAAGGTCATTGTTAAAGTTTTCTGTGTATTATTATATTTTAGCCTTTAGGTGGCATTGAATGTTATTTAATGACACTTTAATTACTCACAAGTTGCTTGTATTATATAGAATCGGGTGGAACAGACTTCTTCAATCTTCATCATTCCTGCTTCGTTTTAATATGATTTTACTAGCAATCTTTCTTTGTACTACGTATATTTTACGTACTTAATTAAAGATTTTGCTGGTTTTTTGTTTGTATTCAGCCTACTAATACCGAACCACAAAACCCTAATCCTACACAGCCTCACAAACTAGACAATTCTAATCCCATATGCTGCCATAATTCAGGTCTACCATGACTACACGCAAATGTTGCCCATTGGGAGGTGGCAAGCTGCTGAACCCTACATTCCTAACCCTCCAAATTCAAAGGAATTTACAGTTCTTGATGGTTACACACAGGGACTGCTAATGCACAAAAACCCGCATATCTGCGTCTTTCTTGAGCCGTGCTATATCTCCATCACGACCTATATTTGTACAGATACTTTAGAATTCTTTTCTGCAGGAAAAGAATCCAAAATTAACGAAACATGCCTCGAGTTTATGTTGCTTGCTGCTCTCAAACTACTCCAGAGGTGTATAAATTAATTATATACTGTCACCACATTCGCGGCGCTATTTTTATTTTTTTTTTATATGCAGCCATTATATTCATTCATAATTGAGAGAATTTTTTTCATTATATCGTAAATATAATTTTTAATTAAATTTTATATTTTATCTCATATATATATATATCACATTATAGAAAGTGCTATAATACAGTCTATTTTAAAGCATTTCTCCGTGTAATTTTCAATCCAAACAGACTGAAAAACCTGTCCTGGTCAAAATTGGTAGTTTATTTTTCTAAGTTATACTTTAGTGCTATAATTTTCTCATTGAAATATCTGAGGTTAGATATGTAGGGATCAGAGAATTTTCCACGTATACGTATACAACAGTGCATGTAGGTAAGTGTGGATTGATTGGACGTCCATCGGTTTCAATGATTCTGTACCTCACATGCACATAATTAGAGCGTGCACGTTTTGATCTTGATCGTTCGATTGATGGGATTCCATACCACCCCTTTTGATGAGTTGCAGGCCATAATATCAGCTCATAGATATTCTCCCTTTTCAAGTAAGTACTCTTTGAAAATTGAAGCCGTGATAGTTATTGTAGCAGTCTACACAGTCTATACGAGAATAAAGGAACATGGAAGCCAAAAGAATTCTAAAAAATATAATGATGACGAAGTGGATAACGCATGATAAAACTTAATAAAATAAATCAGTTCAGTCTTATATATATATATATATATATATATATATATATTGCTTTTGGATTTCGGCCTTAGAACAGATTAGCAGACCTTCGTACAAAATTTCATCTGATCAATGCATTACTTTGGAGATGCAATTAATGCAAGGATGTGCTTGATAAAACTGAAATTTGAATCCGTTAAGTTGTTGAATTATTAAGTATTAAATCTAATACATTTGAATGCATATCACATTCAGTGATAAATGAATAGCTTATCACATAATTTTGAGAACAAGTTTCGTCTAGAAAATTCAGTGCCACTTAATTAATTCAAATGTTCAATTTTTGCTTATCAAACGGTTTGAATATATTAAAATCTGATCCATTAAGTTTAAGTATTGAATTGAGGTATCAAACATGACCTAAGTTTTCCTTTCCCTACTCAATAATTTTCATTTTTTTCTAAATTTAAATGTGCTTATTCGAATTTTCAAACAAGAAAGATGTGTAACATCATTTTCAAATGATAATAACAATTTAAAACGACTGAAGAACAAAATGATAGGCTACTCATTTTCTTCGTTGGTGTTATCCAGTCAATTGTCCATTGGATTAGTTATGATTTTGAATTTTTTTTGCAATGTGTTACCGTATTTTTCTTTGACTTGTACGAGATACAAAGAAAATCAAACAAAATGTGTTCAAAAGAAAAAAAATTTCCCCGTTCTAGATGGTCAGTCAAGAAGTTTTTCATTAGGCTCCCAAGTCCCAACCACAAAAATACTTATAAATTGCCAAAACGTTCTCAATGGATGAAATTACTTTAGACATATGCATGAGACATCCCTTTCACTTTCCTTTATTGGCTATTAATACCATGCATGTTCTATGTCTTTCATATGATACCAATATTCTTGGTTTTTTTTTTACACAAGTATTTTGTGAACGAAAGCTAGGAATTCTTGGAGTGGAAAGCAGTTATCAAAGAAAGTAGTGGCGCAAGAATAGAATTTTTATTCTGCAATTACCACGCACAATTTATATATAGTTTATACTAACATAAAGATATGCTTCTTCAGCATAAGATCAGAAAAGTAATGTGAATCGACGAGGAGGAGAAAAGGTAGGTAGAGAAAGAAAACAAATAGCTGGTTTTCAAGGTTTTTTTTTTCCCTTCTTTTTTTTTTTTATTTTTTTTGGTTCGAAGCAAGCTGTTGCTTGTTTGGATTACCAGTTTGTCTTGGGTTGATTCTCTTGACACGTACTCACAACCATCTTTCTAGTTTTCATATATCATATCACAAAAAATATTACATAATTTTTTGTTTAAAAATTTTTTTAAAAACACAGTATAGTAACTTTTACAAGAGGAAGCAAGAAAAGATACTTAAGAGTAGGAACCATAATTCTCATGATCGCTGGATTAACATTTGAAAATCTTTAAAGAGTTTGTTTGGATAGTGTATTATTTGGAATAATTACTGTAGCACTTTTTGTGATGTGATGTATGTGAGATAAAAAGGTGGTTGGAAATATAAAAAGGTGTGTTGGAAAATGTATTTATGATGCAAGCGAAATATTATTTGGGATAATTAGGTATCCAAACACACTCTAAGTATCAAATCGTTATAGTATATTTTTCTACAAAAACTTATAAAAATAGCAATCCAAGCGGGAATGTTTCCATCTTCCATACACGAGACCTTGGTGTTGCAGAACGAAGAAGAGAAGGCGTTTGTTCCTCGGGGTTCTTGTATGGCCGTAGTTGGCAGGTGCAATGCGTATTTTGCAGTTGTCGAAGCAAATTGTCAATGGTCTGCGTTTGTTGGCGGGCCCGATTTGTTCGATCTGGAATTCTGGATAACGGTGTATGATATTCCGACCCAGCTGCCACGCTGATGGAAAAATAATCTCTCAAAAACATGCCATGACAAAATGTAGGATTCAGAAACAGCTAAAATGACTGGGGCTATGTCTGGCAATAAAAACACACCAAAGTTGAAATTTCCCTGTTGTGAGCAGTTATCGTGTAACATTTCTGTAAATTTTTGTTATCAGTTTGCAAATTAAAATCATCTTATGTTGAGTACGTAAACTTGAAGCATAATATAGAGCCAAAAAAAAAATGAGACCCTTAACATGCTCCAATTCCTAATTCTGCTCACAACTCCAGAATGAAATAATACCTCTATCAGACCAGCACCAGATGATCTCAAACATTCAAC